CCTGAAAGAATCAATAATTAAGCAGAATTAAGACATCAATCCCAGAATGAATAAAAATTATATTAGTTTGAGCTGTGAAAGGTTACATGCTGCACGGTTACTTTCTCTGAGTGATAGTAAATGAATGAATTAACATATTTCCTTTATTGCAGTTGGAATTGCCTATATAAAATATAGTGTGCCCCATGTGATTGTTTTTAATAAAAGATAGAAATCAAATTCAGGTTTGTTAAGTGCAAGTGAAATAATGTGAGGAATTTTAAGTTTCTTTTCAGATAGCTTAGTTCCATGGAATAAGAAGTTTTAAAGTTTTTGTTGGTTTTGGTTTTTGTTTTGTTTTTGTTTTTTTTTCCTAAATTACATTGCATGGCACATCCTACACAAATGTAGCTTCTGGATACTTAACCCCACAACTGAAATGTCTCCATTGCTTCTATATGTAAGGCACCTTAAGATTCTATTGTGAACACCTCCAATCTGAGAAGTAAGGGAATTTACATTAAAACTGGCCTTGATCCAGAATTATATTTCAGTCTTACATTAAAAATGCTGTGGAGAGGCAAGAAAGAAAAAAAACCATACTGAAATAAAAAGCACTGCTGTGAGCATACCTTATGATGGCCAGCACTAACAGCAGAGATCAGGTTCAAGTAGTGAGGTATCTCACCTCCTTTCAGATCTTATATAAATCACAATTTGATTACTGGATATTCCATACACCTATGAATCTGTCCCAAGTTACACAGTCCTCTTCACTGAAGCTTGAGGGCTTCTTCTTCACTACACAAAAAATAGCAGTAAAACTGTTCTTCCTGCCCAACTTGTAGAAGAAATGCTATTATATTACCATGATATCAAGCAAGTAGAGCTTAATAAGGGGTTACAATATATTTTATGTGCTGTTTTGAGTATCACTGGTCTCTGATCACTCCTATTCTTGTTGGAAGGAATGTTAGGTGGAAAGCATCCAACACTGAAAGAGTTTTTAAGTTTCATTGTCCAGATCTTAGTCAGTCCAGCAGACTTGCCCAGCAGAAGGGAGCTATCACGTGGAGAGTGGCCTTTTGGGGGGAAAAAAGGCTACTTCCATAAACTGCTATAATTGCAAGACAGAGCTTGCTTACCAGCCTCTAGATAAAAACAAGTGAGATTTATGTAAGCCTAAACTCTTGGTTATATTAATGGTTGTTAATAATTTAGCAGAAAAAGGTACTTCATGCACTTAAATTGGAAATGATAATTTCATAAAATGAACTGCATGAGTGACATGCCCACAGCAATATGCAATCACTGTCAGAACATTTTCTATTGCTGGCAGAGATTACAACAGAAAATGGAATAAAATGGCCGAAACTTCCACTATTTCATCAAGAAACAAATCCCCTACTTCTGGGAGAAAAGGATTTTTCTTAATCTTTGCTCTTTTTTTGTCTTACAGCTTTACAGTGAAAGACAACCAGTAGTGTCACTAGTATAAATGTACCAAAAAATAATGTTTTAATTAGGTTTCTGTTGCTCCCTCTAGACAAGGATGTTTCTAAGGGTAGGGGACAGAGCTAATAATTTTGTAGACAAAGTTGGGAGGTGATAGCAGTTTGTGGCATTTCCAGTTAGTCCAGATAGAGGCTTCCTTGTTTTTTTCATTAGTTAGTTTATTTATACTTAGTAGTTATTTTATTCAGAGACCACAGTGTCATTTGCCCCTCTCCCAGTAACTCTTCTGCTGAGCCAGAAGACACAGAGGCAAAAATGAACATTATGTATGCAGTTTGTTTACACTCCTGAACAACTTTCCTTAGTTAAAGGTGAGATACTAATGCAATCAGCAACAAATTCTGAAAAATAAATTTAATTCTACTTTTCTGGACAAGGAACTGCCTTTCTGTACCTTCCTTTAAAACAGTAGGAAATGTGCCACCAGAGAGCTTACATAGATTTACTTCAATTTGTAAGGCAGATAGGTAATATTTTGACGTGCACGGCAACATTCTGATGTGTATTGAAGCCTGACCTGGTATGTTAATCCTTAAAAAGCCATTTTCCTGCCATTGAGCTAAATCAGCAGGCTGGGACCATGATGCACCTTTGAGCTTTACAGGTTCAATATGCAATCCTTTCTGCAGGACGGGCTTTTTATTTTTACATCCCACTCCCCACCCAAGGCCCCTGCATCTCCCTCAAATATAGAAAGCAAATATTAAATTAATGAATAACAAGCTTTAGAAAGAGGCATTGTGCAGAGCAATTACCTTCATCTGCAATGATGGCTAATCAGAAAGCAGGAGGGAAAAGAAATACTGAAAATTCTCTGCTTCTACTCCAGAAATGGAGAGACCTCCTTCATACAAAGGCATTCCACTTTCTAATCTAATGAAAATTAGGTGAGTTGACTGACAGTAGCTCATGTTGCATAGTGTTGCCTAAAAAGAATTTCCCTCTCTAAAACCCTTTAATGAATCCCATTCCTGTTACCTTTCAACAATGTGGTTAAAGTTAGTAAGAGAATCTTTTGCTTTGAGTAAGGAAGATGTGAACTGAAACACAAACATGTGCAGATTCAGCATTTCTGTGTGAACATGGACAAACCAATGTCTGTCATGGTAACTAAACCAGCTAAACTGAAAGCTTTATCTCTGCATTTCCAGTGTCATGGCTAGTGATTTCCATGTAGCTTCCCACCAGTCAGTACTACAGCTCTGAGGAAAGCAAACCTTCCATTGAACACTTTTTTTCTTTTGACTTAGCGCTGTAAAACAGTGTTTGTCTTACTGAAGAAGCAAAGGCAATGTATTGTGGATTTCTGAGCAAGAAAATGGATGTTAGATTTCAGCACCTTAGTTCAGAGGAAGCTTTGTCTTGTAATTCAGCAATCTGTAATAGGATTTGGTTCACTGTGTCTAACTGAGACACTTGATTACTTTTCTTATTATATAATTAATTTAGACATCCTTACAGTGGGAAAATATCACACAACGGCAATACCCCTCAGAAAAGACTTTTCTTCCCTAAATGAGAATGTTAGGAACAGCCTGGAGGGAAAAGTTAAAAGATTAAAAGCAAAAGATCAGCATGGAGGCTTCTTAATGAATCACTCATTAGGGTCAGAAAAAGGGAACCAAAGGCAGAGAGGAAAGAAAACAGTATGAGTAACTGGCAAAGTACAAGAGTTTATTCAGACAAAAAAAAAAATCTTTTAAAATGGTAATGTAGCTAAGCCCAAGAGAAGTTAGTATCATTGTAACTGTTGGTAGGTATAACACTGAAAGCATAGAGACCCAATTGTGCTTTCAGTTGCACAAAACTCCTCTTAAGGGCAGATCATTATGAGGACTAGAAGAAAATTTGAGAATATATGAGTCAATTGAACTAGTGAGTTTCTAAGGGGTTAATCAAAGAGAAGGAAAGGTCAAACATAGACACCTTAATACATGTCAGTGTGAAAGGTATTATCACCCATGGAAAAACAAGTTACTATGATCCTTAGTGCTTTGTCTGGAAGGCGGCACACTTAATAGAATGATCCCAAAATAGATGTTCTGCCAAATTTGTACAGCTTGTTTCCTGTTTTTTCCCCCAAGTTAAAATTTATTGCTCTATTTTGAAAATAAAATTAATTGGTGAACTGTCTTTGCTGTCCTGAGATGTTCCTTGTGGGTACTGAGGACCAGCCAGAGGTAGCAAAACAAAGGCAGCTGTTACAGCTGGAGTGAGCTAATCTATGATACTGTGAATCAGTGCATCCTCAAGCAGGTGCAGGCTCGGTTCTCAAGCAAATAAAAGCGCACAGAAGCCCAGAAGGGGTAGTGCTGTGCCTTCCCAGAGATGCTAAATGAGCTTCACTTTAGTGCTAGGAAAAATACTATGCAATTCCTTGGATGTGTGGCAGTCCTTTACTGACATGGCATTTCTATTTTGATGTTATGTTTAAGAATATGGAACAGCATCATAAAATGTATTTGAAGGTAAAATGATTTTGAACCCTTTTACTTTGAAGTGCTTTTTAGGACAACCATGTGAAATGAAATATTTTTACTTGATTTCAGAAAGACTGTAATTGTCTAATTTGGCAAGCTGCTAATAATTAAAAAAAAAAGATAAAAACAATAAAGACAACATAACTAGACTCCCAGTTTGACAACACGTGTTGATTCTTGCCCCATGCCTTTCATTTCTGACTGTTGTACATCAAGTAGAGAGTCTGAGGATGGAGAAAACAAACTCTGAGCAACTCCAGTGGTAGTGGACTTACCCCTTGTCAGGGGAAGGAAGTAAAATGGTATAAACATTTAGGCTTGGACAACAAGAATGAGTGGAGAAAGGAGAAAAAATGAAAACCAATAGGACTTTAAGAAAAAGATGAAAAGGCAATACACATCCTATAAATGTAGACTGGGAAGGGCATGAATGGTTTCTCAATAAACAAGCTCAGGCTGCATCTTTGTACATCATGTGCTGCCTGCTTCAAGGAAAGGCTCTGGCCAGGCTGTGCTGATGCTAAAGTAGAGTTAAAAGGAGGCCAGCTGCCAACAGAACATTTTTTAAAGAAGTCAACTTGTGCATTTTTCTCCTTGCGTAAGCCCCCCATCATGAAAGTACAGCTGTTCAGTGGTTTTCTGGAATGTTTTACTTATTTGCATGTGTCCCTCTCAGTTAGAAATGCTCAGGCACAACACTTCTCTTCAGTGTCTCCTCTCTGTTTTCTGAAAACTGTGTTGATTCAGGAATCAATCCACTGACTTTTGATTTCTATTTCTGTTCCTACACTTCATCTACTGATTATTGGATTCTACTAGCCAAGGATGTCTCAGTAACTCCCAAAATGGAATGACCTAGAAGTAAAGAAAGGAATAGGTGAATTAGCTGAAATTAGGAGTTTAGTTAAATCATTCTTTGTTCTGGCTGTAACCCTAATTATAGCTTTCACCTCAAGCAGTGAAATACTGTCTAAATATTGACCTTGCCCAAATTCAGTACTAGTTTCTTTAGATATTGCCAGTTACCTTTTGCTGTAGCCTGCTTTTTGTCTTGTCTTCAATCATGCCACTCACTGCTGCATTGCCAATCTGATCTCACTTTCCTGCTGTGAGGCCGTCTTCGGTTATTACCCGTTTTCTGTGCCTATAGGAGAAATGCTACTCAGCTACAATAAAAGGAGATAAACACCACAAATAGTAACCAAGCATCCTAGCTAGCCTTGTTATATAGTGAATACCTGGACAGTTTTGCTATCAAACAGAACACAAATGGAATGAAAATTGTAAAAGACACCTGACTAAAGGCCAAAATGTGTAGTTCTTTCACATGATGGTGCAGCAGAGAATACTAACAGCATGTCATTTGGCACATGATATTTTCCTATCCTTTTTTGCAATTCACTTGAAAGCTCAAAGTAATTTTAGTATAATCCATCATTTATCTGAAGATAAGACCAAAAATTATTAGACCAGCAATTTTATTTCATATGTGCTTTGTCTCAATCACAGCTGTTAGGACTTACAGTCAAGATAACCTCTCTGCATTTGTTTGCTACAGCTGGGGTAAAAAAATGTTAAGTATGAGTATCATAAATTGTTTGTCAAATTGTTAAATTCCCCAAAATGTTCCAAAGTGACAAAGATTCTTCTAGGGTACATCTGTCAATTTTAATGTTTTTTTGTTTTCTTTTGTTGGCAAAGGATACATTTTAGAAAATGGTACAGAACATGGAATGAGTGTTCTGAGTAGAATGACTGTCTGTTAGTAAAAGTGATCCTAAGAGACAAATTTGTTGTTGGAAAGGGAATGGAAAAAAATACTGTCATTAGCAAAAGATTACTGGCTTTCTCTTCACTGCAAGGGTGTTTGGGATCAGAAGGAAGAGACAGCAAATGATACTGTGATTAGTAACTTTCTTACATACAGCCACAATTGCACTGAAATAGTTCTGCTGGAGCCTTTCTGTTCTTCAGGCTGCAGAATTTCAGCTTCATGAATGAGCTCTATGCATCTTGAAACTCAAAGTGTACATTAGGTCGCCACCTACTCAAACTCTCCAATGCATTTGAGCTCTCCTTGTACTTACATGCAAAAATTTTAACTTTTATGCAAAGTTAATTCATTGTAAGTAGGTGAGGTTCAATGCTCAGCAGTAGCAACCTCTTTATTCCTGTTGGTGTTGTGGAAACTAACCCTACAATAGTGAAAAGAATGATGTAATTTTTTCCTCCATTTTCCTCTCTTCAAAAGTGATACATATTTTTTTATCCTGTTTTCAAAATTCCATGAGATTTCTAAAAATGTTTCTTTGTAAAATTCTGCCATTTTACCTTCTCAAACCTGATCCTAAAATGCCAAGGCTGACTTAAAAACACCATAATCACCTTTAGGATTAACTGTACAAAAATATGAACTGCCATCCAAGCATGCTGAAAAATTCCTATTTGATTTTTGAGATGAACACATTATCTGTGTCATTGCATTTCTGATGGAATTGTTGTACAGCTGAGAGCAGGAGGAACAAACAGCAGCAGTAAACTCGATAAGGCTTGAAAACTGAGCCAAGATTACCCAAAGGCTAGAGATTTAGCTAAACATGCAATAAAGCCTACAAGACAAGCAGCTGCTGTGGGCCTGTAGTGGCCAGGCTATACCTTCACCCAACCCTCCCAGCTGCGAGCTCCTAATCTCACCATGCTCTGAAAAGATTCTAAGTTTATGCTTCTCCTTCTGGAGAGAGATGATGGTTGCTGTGCTGCCTACATTACTATCCAAAATAGGTGAGAGAAATATTTTGCTTTGCTGTCTACCACCATTCCTGACCTGGCCATTTGTCCTCCTGTTTTCATGCATCCAATATAAAGCCCAAGCAGATCTACTTGTAGGCCAATGAATCTTGATAACCGATCTCCCCAGCTCAGCTTTAGATACAACATATCCAAATTCAATTTTAGTTGATCTTTCCTCTTACTGAGGTAGTCTCCTAGAAAAAAACCACTAAATTCAGTTTAAAAAATGTACAAGATTAATCATGTAATGTAAGTCAGATGTAGTATTTGATTAAATTAATGCATAAATATCCATGTTCTGAATCTACATCAAGATGAATATGACCTTTTATGAAGTCACCAAAGTACAATAGGATACTTGAGATGCAGAGAACATGCCAACCACTCAAACAATTGTATGCTTCTTGGAGTGTGATTAAGACCCCTACAATTTGGTGAGCAATAGCCAAGGGTGAGCTTATGAATACTACTGGTGACATTAATAACTTCTGGAACACAAGAAGTTCCAGAGAAAAAAGAGAGGTAGTGTGCAAATAGGAGTAATTTGTGACTGCTTAAAATGGTTTAAATGAATACTATACCTTTGCATAAATAAGATTTTAATTAGGACATCGTAATGAGGGACTGTAATTTATGGAATTTTAAATTACCGTATTAATTACTGCGCTCAACAATGGGCAGTGCCAGAGAAAAGAACTACCTATATAACAAACATGGAGGATAAAATTACCACAGAGGAGTAAATTTAGGAGTAGAAAAATGCAGTTAGTGCCCATTATCCCAAATAGAACTATTTTAAATGAGCACTAACTCTGACACATTGCCATGTCAGTCCATACATATCTAGAAAGTGTAAATAAATCACCATGTTTACATTTTGCATCTGCCTCTGTTTTTATAGTATGACAAAAAGTGAAATTAAATATATTTTCCAGAACATAATACAATTAAATATAACATTATTCAAGATATACAAATACCATCATTCATCTTGTTCCAAGAGCACTGTAAAAAGCAAGTTTTTGAGCTGTGATATCTGAAAGGTAAAGGCAGCACTCTCCTCACTTCTGCAGAGCTGTGGGTACTGACACTTCAGGCTGGTATTTGCTGCCTTTTAAACCAGTACCTTCTAGCTGCAGTTTGCACATGCTCTCCAGCCCAAGAAAATACTGTTTCAAAGCAGGAAGGCAGGACACCTTACACCATAGAAAATGAGCACACTTCTGCTCTCCCCCAGTGCAAAAATTCTCTGTTTCCATCTATTACTATGACAAAAGTAAGAGTAAAAATGAAACCAACTATATTCAAATTTAATGATAAATGTCATTTTTCTTAATTGTACAAGGCCACTTTGCTTCTCAGTTCAACAACGAACTAGGAAGCACACAATAATCACAACTGATTTTTCTCTGCTATGTAGTTCAAGTTGTAGAGTGGAAAAGTGTGCAGAAATACCATGTTCCTGCTGGAAAGGCATATATTTTAAACTCTTAATACATGAGCAAAAGCTGAATTTGTAGGCACTTCATATTTTTGAAAGATTCTGTAATTTAAAAGATAATGGTGGCAACAAGCAAAATGGACTGCCATAGTCAGGAGTATGAAACATTTGTCTGACACCAAAACAGACCTAAAAAAGCCTTTCTACATCATCATGGTAATTACCTGCTTCAGGCCATACTTAATCCTCCTATTCAGATGAAACTCTAATCATGTTAGTGCTGAGGGTTCATGGAAGTGACAAGAGAAGAGGCTTCCCTATACAAAAAAATCCCCCTTTATACACTCATCCGGTGATTTTACTGAGCCAATTTACTACCTTGTCCCATGCTATGCAGCACAACACAATCTAAATGAGTGCTGCTACTTTTGGAAGTGATGGAAATTTACAGTGAACTGCAGCATGCTCTGGGCAGAATCCTGCTGTCCCTTATTGCCATACAGCTCATTAATTCTAGGGGTTTTCCAGAAATAGGTGTAAATGAATACTGCAATTTTACTGCTTGTACACATCATGACCTGACTGACTTACTGATACACCAGTTGAATTAGAAAAATATAGAGCTTGTATTTGTAAGTAACTGGTAACATAAAGTGTTTTGATGCATGGAGAGGGGAAGAACAGTAAATATATTACAGGACTTCATCTGAACTTGTTGAAAGACTCTAGTCTGGTGTGGGTCCAGGAGAAATTTAGAAATTGTCTGGGAAAAAAAAGAGAAAAAGGCAGGGAGGCGTTTTAACTTTACTAACTAAAGTTAATCTCTGGTTGTAGATCACTCCAGTTCCTGCTCTGTAGAAAAAGGATAGATCTGGTTATGCAGAGTGTATGCTATGAAATTCTGATTAAACCAAATTTTGTGAACTGGTGGAAGTTGCATTGCCTTCCAGACTGAGGAACTGTTTGCACAGCTCAGAAATCAAGAGCATCACTTTTGGTGTTTGATTAACTTCTATCGTGAGCTTAGCACAGCAGTAAAAATTTAATTGCTCATCTGATCCTTAGCAGAGGTGACAGGGCTACATCTTGCAGGATGTTGGGATGAGCCTTGATGGTGCGGTGGAGTTACTGCTCCGAGGCTGTCTCCTGCCAAAGGGAGCCCTTGCTTTCTCTTCAAACTGTTGACAAGACTCAAGAGCTCACATGCGGCAGGGTTTGGAGTTTGTGGGGCACTTAGTCCTCTCTAAAATAATTATGTGGAGCGGGTTTAGGGAGCGGGCCTCGCAGGGCGAGCCAGAGCACGGGGGATTAAGTGGCTCCGCTTCGTCCGGGACGGAGCCCTCCCGTGCCAACTCCGTCTAAGCCAAGCATAAATTCCGCATGCGGCTGTGCCGCGCTCGCAAACGCTGTGGCTGCCCCTGGCCGAAGGGGCCCGGCCGGGACGCGCTTACCTGGATCCGGGCGGGGGTGGCTGAGCCCCGGCGGCGCTCGGGGCGCACCGGGCTGGGCTGGGCTGGACCGGGCTGGGCTGGACCGGGCTGGGATGGGATGGGAT